GCTGGGGGTTATGATAGATTGTAATGAGTTGTGTATTTGGTTGTATAACAAACTTGGGTTGGGGCAGATGGACCAGTATAAAATAGAGCTTGTTTGCTAGCAGTTATAACATTTATTAGAATAAAGAGAATTTCTTTTGTGAAGAGTATAAGATGCTGGGAGTTCATCCACTAGTAATCTAATTCTGAAGGTTTTGAGAGTTGAGAATTAGAAACTGTATGCAAAGTTAGAGACTTTTTAGTTGTTATTGATATAAAGCCAAGTTGTGTCCCAGTTTATATACTGTGATATAAGCATCTATACTTGGAAGCGGTTTTGAGATGTTCAAAGGGTGAAAGTATTTGCATGGCAAATTGTTTTAATACTATGTCAAGTAGGAAGTTCAAGTGGGTAGCTGTTTGAGATTAAAGTATATAATAGATTATAGATGTTGTGAAAGTTAAATGAGAGATGTAATGTGTTAAGGTGATCTTGCTGACACTATCACAGCTTTTGATAATTGCCACGGCTTATGTCCAGTTTCTTTTTTATATTTTTTGTATAAATTGAAATGAATCTTATCTGTCAAAATGCTTGGTAACCCACTTAACTTGGCATACCAATTCAGATACTCAGGGGTTAATTCTTTATCAGACTTGCTCATATTGCCTTTTTATATAATTGCAAATCAATTTAAATTACAGTGGGTATAGTTGACATAAATTAGCTCTGTAAAAAAATATCACAATTAAGCGTGAGCAAATATAGTATTGTAAAATAATGAGATTATATAGTTATCTCAATTTCACGCTGTTCATATTTAATAAAGTAAGATTCAGATTTATACCTACTTTCTATACTTTCTTCATCATTATGATTTAACTTGCATAATAGGCATAATGTTTTATCAGTAATACTATAATAATTGAAGCCTTCACTACTAAATTCTCTATATAAGTTAGGATATTGATCCAATTTTTTGCTATGAAAATAGGATCAATCATAAGATTGAGATACAGATAACGATGTCCGTACCTTAGATGCGTTAGTTCAATAACTCTAATTGTTATGATCATGACGGAAGTCGCATGATTGTAATCTGGTGTCCTCTTTAATGGTTCTACTGAAGTTATATTCTTGATAATGCTTTGAATTTGACTAATAGTAAGACTTGAGATGAATAAATCTTATAAAGAATTTTCTAAAGAAAACGATACTCCACAACTCCAAATTGATACAGAAATCTTTAACAAAAATAGCAAACATGAAGCTACTTTTACTAAACCAATTCCTACCACCCTCCTCGACTTACTTGCTGATACTGCAGAACAGGAATTCTGCACTAACAACTTAACTCTTCCTTCCAAAAAACATCAAAATGGATTCTTTTACCAATATCTTACTGTATACCAACACAAAGCTGCTGAAAATCTTAATATTCACAACCTTAACAAAGATTAAGCTATTAACAATATTATTACTGATATAGTTAATACTGACTTTCTTGCCAGAGTGATTATCTACTTCGATCTTAACAAAACACTTCAATCCTCTTACCTTGAAACTGTCAAATATTACAAAGAAACTGCTTATTCAGAAGCTGAAAAAATTCTCTCCTTGAAATTTAATCTTAAATTTCAAGCACCACTCTCTATCGGAGACTCTTTATTTCTTAAAGAGTCTCCTTTTCAATAATTTTGTCTTCTACAAATACCATAAATGCAGCCATCACTTTTCTAAAAGATACACCTATAGTATTTAAAAAAGAAAATGATGTAAGTAGGCAGGTGGATAAGTCTATTTACCCAGAAGAGCCAGACAAAAACAGCCCTCTAACGTCTAATTTGAGTGTTGCTAGCTCTTGCAGAACCATATGAGCTGGGTATATAGTGAATGCTATAGAAGAAACTTCTCTTGTAGAATCATTTTCAATATTATTAGCCTCCTATAATCTATACACAATATCTCTAACAAATAAAGTAACCCAACTTACATCAACAACTACCTTCGATGATGAAGATGAACAACTATTCTTTTCTTCAATTCTAAACTGCCAATTAGAACCTGATCTACCTCACCTCGAAACAATAATACAAATAACTGAAAATCTCAGAACTATTGATCCTACTACATGCTATAACAGATTCCTCTTCTATTACAAATTACTTCTGCTTGAACATCCACAAACAATCTTCACTTTTTTTAAATATCTATGAGATGACTTTCCTCTTTTTTACTCACCCTCCTATATTAGAATCTCTATCTTAAACAAGAAAGATACTAACGACTACTACGAAGAAGCACATATTTACTTTCCTAACGAACCATACCCACTCCCAAACCACTTTACCCACTTTTTCACGATCTACTAGCTGGTTTACCTATATTCCTCTAAAAACTTCCTCATCTTCATTTTATGATTCAACCCACTAACCTCTTAATCTTTCTATTGGTACTCACAACATTCGTAGTTTTAACCAAAAGTCAAAACAACAAGTTTGAAAAGACTATTGCTTAGCTAGCAACCTAAACTAATGTTGTTAGTCGAAATATCCTATTTTGTCAAATATTTAGACAATTTTGTGTCGAAATATATTTCGATATGACATTATTTTTTGTCGAAATGTCAAAATTCTAAATTTGGCAAAATGACTAAATAGTTGACTAAATAAATACTATATGACTATATGCCTAAATTAGTGGTAAAATAAAATCTTTAGATTTATCATCTCTAATATTCCAATGTTACAACATAAATTAGATAACTATGCAGTGTAGTCATACTAAAAACCAGAAATATGGAGTATATAAATGATATATAGATATTTTTGAATGCAGAATATCTATGTATTTATTCTTATCATTATATATTCAATATTTACATAATTAAACCTGCTTGATAGGGGCAAGAACTATTTTAGATCAAATCTACATTAAAATATATAGCGTGAAATTCACAAAATAAACAAGTTTGGATACTTGCTAATAATTAGTTTATATATTTTTTAATTTAGACATTTCGACATTTCGGCATAATTTAGAATTTTGGCATTAATTTAAAATTTCGGCAGACTAAATATAAAATGTTGAAATATTTCTACAAATTCAAAACAATTTCGGCTAACAACATTAATCTAGACATTATTAGTCTGACTGAAACTAAACTTGCTTATAGCTCATTTTATTCCAAACCATTGGCAACCCCCCTCCTATACTTACTTTTGGTCATGTACGGACAGCTCCAAAGCTGGCACTGCCATTATGATCTGTAAACATCTTACTCCTCATATCCACAAAATTACTACCCATCCTGGATATGCCATATTCATAGACCTTTTTAAACATGACTTCAAATTCTGTATTATTTCTACCTACCTTCAAAGCAACGATTTAACTACTAGACTATACACTCAAAACCTAGTCATCCAATAGATCTAGCAGGTGATTTCTTCTAACCTGCTCCCTATTGTTCTTGGTGACTTTAATGCCACTTCTGACTCTACACTCTCCTCTTCTAACA